TATTCTGTCTTGAAAGAATAGGAGACAAGTCTTCAGGGCTATGCCAGGTCAGTGAGTTCCTTAGAAGCTGAAGCCCAAATAAGGATTCTTGTGCAGGAAATTAAGGAAGTACTGCTAGAAGAAACCAGTAAAGAGTGGAGAAAATAAAAGAGGAAAGAGGAGGAAGCCAAGCAAAGGTATAATCTGAGGCAAAGTCCTATTAAGGTAGCTTCAACCTGATCTCACAGAGGAATTCTAATTTTATTATTTAGTTATTATATATTATTATTTGTATAAGTTAATATAATATATAACTTTTTGTTATAGTAATTTTATTATAATATTGAGATGTTATTATCATAAAAATAATATTATAATAAATAATTTATCCTGACCCAAGGAAAAGAAAACTGGGTTTTCAAAGTCTTGCAGCTATCTGTAATTAGCTAAGGGCATGTAGGGGGAATTTGGGGGGATAAACTCTTAGTAACTTCTAGTTCTGTGGGCAGACTCAATACAATGGCTCTGGTAGTCCAAAGGAGGTCCTCTGATGAAGGTCTTTAGGTTAAAATGGATTTGACGGAATCTGTGCATATCACTAACATTTTCTGCTAAAGTGTGGGAACAGAAATGGAGAGACCCAGTATTCCTGGATACTCAAAGAAGTACAACTTCCATAAAAGTGTGGGCATGGGGACATTTAACTACTTAGAAATTGAAGCAATGAAAGAGCTTATTTATTTCTTCCTCTGTACCATGGAAATACTTTTAACAAAAAACAATAGTATTTCTTTAGAATTTATGGCTATAGGTTATGTTGTCACATGCAGCTTATGTATACTATCCTCAGGACCAGTCGCAGTGAGGCCCAACGCAAAATTAAAATGTGAGGTTCTTTGCTTAAAAATTATTACAAACTTCAAGATGATGACAACAGAGCATTAAGCCAAGTATGATGATCTTCCCAGTGTGGGGCCCTGTGTGACTGCATAGGTCACATACTGTGAAGCTGACCTTAATCACCTTCTCAATAAGATAATCAATAGGCCAACATACATACGTACGTACATACATACATCTATACGTAAGTACATACATACGTAAATGAATGTTGTTTCATGTTGGTAACATTTGGAACATGCAGTAGAAATGAATTAAAATCTTATCTTGAGAAAACCATGCCCAATCTATGTCCCTTAGAGTCTCTACGGAATAAATGGAGCTAATTACCAACTTAAAATGAAAAAAATATTTACAAAACACACATTTCCGAGAGAAGAGGCAATAGAAATTGCAAACAGAAGAGTTACACACCCGAGATCAGATACTAGAATTATTATATAAAGAATAAAAGAAATAGAAAATTATAATACAAAATATATGAGAAACAAGAGGCTATAAATAGTAACCAGAATTTTTTTTTAAGGAACAACATGGGAATTCTACAAGTGAAGGATATAATTGTTGAAATACAAAACTTAATAGATGAGGAGTTCTGCTTTCATGTATGACACAGCAACTTCAAGGTACATCATCCACCTACAGATAACAATTATTGACTCTGAGCAAAATTTAAAAAGCAACTCCTTACATATCCATTACCATTGGCAAAAAAAAAAATTAAATTAAATAAATAAATAAAATAAAAAGCAACTACTGAAGGTAGACTTTAGGGACGAGCTGAAATCTGGAAGAAGAGATGGGACTGGGTGAGATCCTCACCTTAGCAGTTGTGGCCTGAGGGTCAGCTCTGGTCATTCCATGTGGAGGAGCCTGAAGCTCTGATAAAAACATGTCATCTTTCTTGCACAAGGAATAAAGAAGCTGGGGTGATGATCTTTATTGCCCCAAAGTGAGGGACTTATCCAAAAGAAAAGGGACAGGTAAGGGGAACTGTGGTCAGGTTGTACTTGTAACTTTGTCCCATCTCTGCCTGATTGCTGAAGTACACGTTTATAGGACAGACAGCAAAGAACCCAGCAAAGTAAACATATAAAAATGCCTTCAATTGCACAGAGATCTGAGCTAATGCATTCTGTAGGAGAATTTGTTAAACCAAGTAACAAGCAAATGAATACAACACTCTTTTGAGGAGTAAGGGCCTTTGAACCCAAAGACCGCCTATAATATAACATTCAAAATGCAAAGGATAGAATCCAGAATTACTCAAAATACAAAGAAGCAGGAAAATATAATCTATTAGAAAAAAACAATGAAGAGATTCTCAATCTCATTAGTAATCAGAGAAGTGAAAATTAAGAGAATACATAGATACTTTATACTCATTACGATGACAAAAATGAAAGTTTAATAATATAAGGTGTTGGAGAAGATGAAGAGAAAGAAAATCTCACACTGTTATTTTGAGAGTGTAAACTGAAGTAGCTGTTGGGAGAACCATCTGAAATGGTTCTAAAATGAATATATATTCCATGCAGGATTTCACTCCTGAGTATGAATATACACCTTGGAGAAATTCCACACAAGAGCAGAGGGGCACATGCAACAAGAATATAATTTCAGCATTGCTTTTTTTGCAAAGAAGTGAAATATCCTAGGTGTTATCCTTGGGGGAAAACTTCAGTGAATTATAGTCCATGGCTAGGTGGGATACTGTGTATTGGCCAGATGAAGTGAGCTATATCTACATGGAGAAAGTACTAAAGTAATGATACTTAAAAGGAAAACAGAATGTGATTTAAAGCTCAATAACATTTACTTAAATTTTAAACATGCACTTGCATATACAGTACTTTATGAATATATATTACATATGTATTATATATATATAAACATAGATGGGAAAGATACATATTAAATATACAAGACTCTGTTTATAAAAGTGTGAATTGAGTTTGGGGGGTAGGCAGTAGGGTTGCCAGATTTAGCAAATAAAATTACAGGGCATCTGGTTACATTTGAATTTCAGATAAAAGATAAATAATACTTACTAATACCCAATTTAATATTGGATTATTAAATACTTACTAATACCCAATTTAATATTGGATTAAAAAGACCTTCCCATCCTTAGGAATTTCAGCCTGAGGGGACATACACAGAAAAGCAAGAGTAGTAGATTCTTTTCTTTTAGTCCCAAATATTGCACGAGACACACTTATACTAAATATGTGTACTAAAAAAATTTTTTATCTGAAATTTGAATTTAAGTGGGCAACCTGTATTTTATCTGTCAAGCCTAATATGGAGAGAAGCAATAACATATAATAAGGAACAAAAGGTCTTGCACAGACATATCATAATGTGTTATGTCCAAAAACTATTGCCAACTCAATTCTGATACAGAATTTAAAAAACATCAGTAAATAAACAACTCAACCATGTAATCTTACATAAATTATTTTGGGAATATAAATTATAGGTTTAAGTGATGTCATAAAATCTTGGGAGAAAATAATTCTAATATGTCAAGTACTTTAAAAAGTGGAGAAAATTTGTCCTTGGTTTTATTTCCTTGGAAGGGACAAGCATTTTCCTGAGATGGTCATATTCCACCTCATGCTACTCAGCACGAAGTCCTTCTTGAGTACATTCACTAAATATTAAATACAAAGTTGATTTTAGTCTACCAAAAATATAATCTTATTTAATAAGCACCATTTCTTATTCTATAGAATGTGTGTGTAGGTTTATTAGAATTTGCTCATTTAAGCTTTAAACTACTGTGCTAATGTACTTATTGCTATTAATCATCTCAGCACTTCTTTTATTCAGGGAAAAGAAAACTTAGCTCACCTGATTTACCTTATGTCTTTGCTTGTAATTGCAAATAAAATGAAAATGTTGCTGTACCCAGTTTAAATCTAACAAGATGCATAGTGTTGTTTTTTCAGTAAAATGATGTAGACCAATTGAGATCTTTTCCTCTATACTTTATGTAAGTTCTCTACATAATGATTAAGTAACCTATAGAATGCCAAGTGTTGTATCCACATTGCATAGTGATGGAGGATCCTGGCCCAAAACTTGGTTCACATGTTGAGAATGATGACACCATGTACGCTCCTCGTGCGTAGGAAAAGGTTTGTGACTCACAGAATGAGGCTTTCTGGGTACAGCAGGATAGACTCCCCAAGTTCATCCCAAAAGGGCTTGAGATAGTATGGAAAGGAGGCTGGCTTGGGTGTTTATGATACTGGATGTGGGGGGTAGGAAGCGGCGGGGGCTTTCCATGCATAGGACAGGGTTTGTGTAGTATGAATTTTCCATTCATGCCAAAGGAGGGAGAACTGGGCTTTCTTATCAGTTTGATCAGATGTGGGGCAGGAGGAAAAGAAGGAGAAGTAGATCTTAAAAGCTGTCTGCAGTCAAACATCACAATGGAGTCAGACCCTTTACTACAAGTGCTAATAAAAGAAATGGAATCCTACTGATTGAGGAAATACAATTGACTAGAGTTTTATATCATCACATTGCATTATAACGGAATTGAAATATATGAAGTAACCCAATCACAAATTAAACATAAATAATAGAAGAGCAGGATAAACATGGCTATGCACAAAGGGCCTAATGGAATTGGAAGAATAATATTACTATAAGAAATATGAGTGTTAATGGCAATACCAGTTAAATTAAAAACGTTACTTTTTAATAACATTACTTTATGTAGTATTTAGCAGATGCAGTGGCCATCTCTCAGAAGATTAGAGAAATACTTTATTGTAATTCAAACTCAAAATATTGCTTAGAAAACCTGACGTGATCAATGACTTTTTTGTTGTTGTTGTCATTTCAAATTAAACTGAGCAAGGATTTCAGACAGAAAGGAAATTATGAATAAAATCAAGTCTAGGTTTGTTTCCACTTTTTGACATTTCTAGAATGGTGTCATTCATTTTATAGAGTTTAGTCAAACTGTGAAGCAGCAGCAATCTCAGAATTTGGATGGTATTTTGAGATATTCTAAACATTGGTTTTGAGAATTAGCCATAAAGCATAATTCAATCCTAGCTGAAAAGTATTCTTATACTGACACCTTCCTTTTCTCTTCCTTCCAGACAGCAGTGACCTTCCATTGTTGTTGAAACCATCGGTGGTAATGAATACTCAACTGTGTAGCCAAAAAAATGTGATGGAGTGTCAAGTGACACCTCCCACCCCCAACATACTGTTTTGCATTTACTGAATGACATTTGTAAGACTTCCTCTCCTCCACGCCTAAGACTTCTCTGTAAAATGTAAAGATTGCCTCCCCCCAACACATATTAACTAGGGCTTCTTCCATTTCTGAAATTCTAAGCTCCTTTACCTTCTCTCAGTTTTTCTAATTAAATAAGAAGTAATTATAAGCCTGTGTGTCTTATTCTTCTTGCTTATTCTCCGAGTTTTGCCTCTCTGCAAAAGGGCCTCAGAGTAGGTAGCCTGGATCTCTCAGTTATTTTGATTTACTAAGGCTTATATTTATTTCTTTATACAAAAGCAAATCTACATATTATAGATATTTGAGAAAAAACAATCTGAAAAAATAAATATGAAGAAAAATCAATAACGATGGTGCAGTGGAGAAAAAGAGCGCAGGCTAAGGAGATAAAGATAACAAGGAGAGGCATTTTGAAGATGATGGTCAGGGAAGGAGTCTCCAAAGTGATGACTTTTTGAGAAGCTCCTGAAAAGAGTGAGGATCTGAACTGTGATGCTGGAGAAGTAGCATTCCAGACCAGAAGGAACAGTATGTGCAAAATCCGCAAATGAGAGGAAACTTGGTGCGTTCAAACACCGACCAGATGACCAGAAGGCCTTTGAGGCTTGAGTGCAGTGAGCAAGGTGGCAATGGTGAAGGAGTTTAAGTTTACCTCTGGGATTTTAGATTTTGTCCTCAGTCTGATGGAAAATTATTTGAAGGATGCTGAACAATGCCATGCTTTGATCTGGCTCACATATTTAAAAGGTTAATCTGTCCATTGTGTGAAAAATATTCTGGTGATAGAGTAAGAGCATAAACAGGAAGACCAATTAAGTGGCAAGAGCAGATGAGCAAGTAGACAAAATTTTAATGGTTGTATTGGATGTAGAATGTGAGAGAAAAATAAAAATCAAAGATGATTCTAAACTTTCAGACCTTAGCTATTGGGTACTTGATTCCTTCTGCAGAGATGAGAAAAATATGGGAGTGGCAGATGGGGTTGAGAGCTTGTTGAGTTTGAGATGCCTATCAGATATATAACTGGAAATGTTGATCAAACAGGTGGAAACAAGAGTCTAGATTTCAGGGCAAGGTAAAAGACGGACCTAAATTTGGGATTGATGGGCTCACTGAAGTAATAGGTCTGGACGACAGCACATTGAAAGAGGGTGAATATATATGGAGAAAAAGCCCATAGGTTGGACCTGAGAACACTGACATCTAGAGTTTGGAAAGGGAAGGGAAATCTGATGAAAGAATTTCAAGATAGGAAAAAAAATGCTATTAGTTGAAAATAACACCAGTGTTTGCTTTGAGGACAGGGATATTCTGAAAGGTAATTTTGCTAAAGGAAGAACAGAGAGCCTAGGACTCCCAATAAAAAGCAGGTTTCAAGGTACTGCAAGAACCAAAGGAAGATTTCCAGCTCCTGCAAAAAGTGCTTGCCTCTGAGAACCTTTATTCTCAGAAGTACAAGCTGCTCCTCATTGGCTGATTAACAATCATAATGACATATATTTTCATTTTTCAAAGCCTCTTCATACCTCATCCCATTTTGTTTTCACAGCAACTCTTACTTAGGAGACATGACAAATTTCTAATAGCCATTTTATAGATGAGAAATTTGAGGTTCAGCAGGTGAAGTGGTTTCCCCAAAGTTACACCACTAGTTAATGATGACACACCAGCTCAGCAACTAAAGACTTTTGACTCCTACTTCTTTCCACTTTGCATACCATCTATTCAAGCATTTAAAAACTTACGCAATGTTCCTTTGTTTTCTCACAAAGAGTATCTTATACAGTAAGTTACACACACATAGGACAAAAAAATGCCAAGGAAATATCTTCAATATCCATCCATTCCATTTAATCAACCGCAGATTTATAAATCTATTGATCAACTCCATAAATAATTTTTTGAGCACCTACTATGTAAATCAGACATCATGTTACACAGATATACTAAGATTAGGAAGGAGTAGTATTTGCCCTCAAGATGATCATAATCTGAGGGATTTTTTCACACTTTTACTTGTTATGCAATAATGGTAATTCATACTACTTTTTTTGTGGTTGGTTAGTGTCTGCATTAACAAATATTTTCAGATTTCATCATGGGCTTTACTTCTCCAGAATAACAAGTTCTAGCTTATGGGATAGAAATTTTATTTTCTCATTTAAAACTACAGGTTGCACATTAATAAGTTGTTAAAACAGACCTTGGATATCATTAATCTGACACTTTCATCATATGGCTAGGAAATTAAAGCCCAGACAAGTGAAAAGTGATTTGACTAAGCTACAAAGCTAATCCATGGCATTGACATTGAAAGCTACACTGTTTGTTAAAGCAGTTTTTCAGATCTCTGAGTTCTGGCCAAGGATACTTCCTGGTTGCCAAAAGTTTCCAAGAAGTTTATCTCAGAAATTCTATGAGTTCCTTACCCAAGAATTAATTTTACCAAGCCAGATGGCTTTGTTGGCAAGAATGGGGTATCACAATCCAAATTTTGAAGTCAGAGAGGGAGCTTGCATTTCATTATAGAATTCAGATGATCGATGTTCACTATTTGAGATCTTAGTCAGGTATTTTCAAGCCTGGGAAAGTAATGTATTAGCATCTCCAGATAGTACCCAGATATTTCCTTTTTATTTAGCTTGAGCACAAAGTCCCTTATTAATAATATTATATTAATCTTTTAATCTCATCTGAAAACATTACTAATGTGAAGCTACCGTAATTTTTTTTGAGGTTTATTATTGTAATCTCAGTGTCTTAATTAAAACAACAAAGGTTGATTTCTTACTTGTGCGAAGTCTGTTACAGGTTTGGGTCTCTTTCCAGGGAAGCAGCTTTTCATGTTATGGTTTAGCAGTGGATCTCCATATTGAGCAATACTTTCACAGTCACTTCCGCTGAGAGGGGTGGGCTGGAGGTTCAAGTATCAGAAATTGGATGTTTCCACATGGAAGTGCCACACATCACTTTGACTCACACAGTCATACTCAAATATTTAGGGGAACAATAGTTACATCTATGGTAGTTATCCTTGTTTAGCTGAATGTATAGTTGATATTTACAATAGCCAAGACATGGAAGGGTCCATTGACAGATGAATGGATAAAGAAGATGTGGTGTATATATACAATGGAATACTACTCAGTAATAAAAAAGAATGAAATAATGTCTTTTGTAGTAACATGGATGGACCTAGAGATTATCACGATAAGGGAAGTCAGACAGAGAGAGACAAATATCATAGGATACCACTTATATGTGGAATCTAAAAAAATGATATAAACGAACTTATGTACAAAACAGAAATAGACTGACAGACATAGAAAACAAGCTTATGGTTACCAAAGGGAATAGCGGGGGTTGGGAGGGGAGAGATAAATTAGGAGGTTGGGATTAACAGATACATACTACTATACATAAAATAGATAAACAACAAGGACCTACTGTATAGCACAGGGAACTATACTCAATATCTTGTAATAACCTATAAAGGAAAAGAATCTGAAAAAGTATATATATACATATAACTGAGTCAGCTGCGCACCTGAAACTAACAAAAGATTGTAAATTAACTATGCTTCAATTTTTAAAAATGGTAAAAAAAAAAAAAAACCACAATAAAAGGAATTGCTGATTAAAATTGTTCACATTTTTGGTCCTCTTAAGAAAAACTTGGTGATTAAGACCATAAGTGGAAAATCAAGGCCACATAATCAACCTAAGAGGCAGCTAAGCATTTACAGTGTCAATCGCTGTGCAAAGAGCTTTTCAGATATTATTTTATTTAAAGTAGTCTCACAACAACCTTAAAAAGTTGGTATTATTGTTGCCTTTTTATAAATAAACAACTTGAAGTTCGATGATTTGTCCAAGATTACACACTAGCTTAACAATGGGGCAAGCCTTTTAAAGTCAAAGAACTCCCAAATAACAATAATTTGTGTAATAAATTATTTTCAGCCTAAACCTATTAAATAAAAATCATAATAGTAACAAAGGAAATGTCTTGCCTTTTGCTTCCTAGGAAAACTTTCACTGTCTTTTCAAAGAACACTCCTAAACAACCAGGAATGCTAGAGTCACTCAATTCTCAGACTTTTTATAGCGTTTATTGTTGTGCTTTCATTTGATAATAACTCCCATATTGCCCTGACAGATGTTTTCCATTGTTATCTTAAACTGTTATTTACACCATTTTGAGGGTAGGAATCATATCTGCTTTTATCTTGTATTCCCATTAACACGGAACAAAGTGCCTTGCACACAGAAGGTGCTTCATGAATTTATTTTTTAGGAATTGTCACTGCTTCTTTGAAGGGAACAATGGTACAAAGAAGAGCATTATAAGAATATTACAACGACTGATATGACACGTTTGATGATTCTCCCTTTGTTTTTGCATTATGCACACATTACCTAGAATTTTAAATGTTCTTTCGCAGCAAGATGCTTATTATTAAATCATGGAAAACATGGAAAGGGAGAACGGGAGTTGGGGGAGACTTGGCCTTGGAAATACTCATCTTGAGCCTCTGTAGGACTTAATTTTCACCTTGGTCGCTGTGAGAGTATCCAGGTTGGGATAATATTTGAATTGCTTGTCAGGTGTGTTAGACAAGCTGACATAAATCTCATTTCACATTGACATTCTTCAACTAAGATCTAACAGCCTAAAACTACAGAGAGATGCTGCCCCAAGCACCACAAAACCTTAAGGCTTGGAATGTCTTCAAGAAAGGACAAAAAGGAGTGATGATTCATTTTCTTGACGGTTACCAAGAATGATGCAGTGTCTTTAGAAGTCTGACAACTGGCTGCCCTGTAGAGGCCTCCAAAGTATTCCTTGCAAATACTCAATTATGCTTCTCAGAATAGGTCTTGCTTTAGAAAATTTAATAGATGAACTTCTGTCTAAAAATAGTTTGCTCACCACCCTCACCACCCCCCATTCTGGCTGATCTAAATAACGGAGAGTCTTTCAAAGCGCAGAAAGGATGCTAGAGAGAGCAAATCCTGGCATAAAAAGTTAAAAATAAAAGTCATTATGTATGAAATAAATCTATCCTAATTTTCCTCATCTCTATTTTCTGTTCTTTCACTTGGTTCCTAGGCATGATTATATATATATATATATATATGTGTATGTATGTATTTTTTTTTAACATTTTCTCTTCTTTTGTCCCAGGTGTCCACCTCTTACTCCATGTAATGTAAGTTGTCCTCCCTCTCTTTTCCTTAACTACTCCCGTTCATCAGTGAGATTTCAGTCAGTGCTTAGTGGGATTTTATCCTCAACCTTGATCCCAATAGTACACTTGATATTAAAGGAAGGGCTAATTGACATGAGTGTTGTATCTATTTATCCTTGAGGCATGAAGGATTGACAAGGCATTATACAGAGTCCTCACAAACGGGTTTTCTTGTAAGAGATGAGGTAGGTAGTATAGATAATTCATACCAAGTACCAAATATGTGTAAGTAGTTTTCTATATATTCATCTAAAATAAGTCTCAAAATAATATTGTGAAGTAAATTCTGTCACCCTCTCACAACTGTTATGGTTGATAAAACTGAAACTCAACTAAGTGGCATAGGTCTGAGAGAGTCCAAATCCCAGGCATGAGGGAGATCTCTTTTTGCTAGAAGGCAAATTGCTTCTAGTGTCAGGGATGGTGTGTTAAACTTAGTTCCCACTGCAGGAGAGAGCTTTTGAATGAAAAAAAAAAAAAGTTCAAAGCAATGAGTCCAAATATATGCTTTGTCCCTGGCTCATCTTTGCTCATGCTGCTGAAGCCCCTGGTTTCAAATACAGCATCAATCCTGTGAATGGAGATGTTATGGAATAAAAAAAAATATGGTCTAGTTGGAAATAATTGCTATACATTTGCTTAGTGCTCAAGACTATAAAGGGATTGCAGTTTCAAGTTAATGCAAATGGTGGAAGCCCTGATTAGCAGATGTGGGCCCTGCTGAGGCAGAGGTATGTGGGCCATGCAGAGTGCTAGTATCTGGGTGAAGTTACAGTGAAGGTGTCATCTACCTACTTTTCCTATAGTCCCTGTTCTATTTGTAGTGACAGTCAGCTTTCATACAAAAACCCTTTCTGGTACATGTTTCAAATTTAACCTGCACCAAAAATGCTCGGGCTTCAGCAAAGCAGGAATAGTAGTCCCCATTTGACTGATGAAAAAAATTATATCCAGAGAATTTTAAAGTCTTCATAAAAGTATCGAAATGTGAAACTGTGATCCAAATAGAGAAGTCCTGGCCACAAACATATTGTGCTTTCCACATTACACAAAAGGAGAGCATAATAAAAGAGGACTTATTAAATTAAATTTAAAATCATATCCTTGATATATAAAAAAACAAAAGGAAAATGGCAGGTATGAATCTAGCCATATAAATAATAATGTTAAATGTGAATGGATTAAACACCCGAATCAAAAGTAAAATATGTCAGACTGAAAATATGACCCAACTATATGCAGTCTACAGGAGATATACTTTAGGTTTAAGAAGACAAACAGATTGAAAGAAAAAAGATTTTTAAAAAGCTAGCATTCAATCAGCAACCATAGATAAGCTGGAATGGCTATATTAATATCAGACAAAATATACTGTAAAAGAAAAAATGTGATAAGAGACAAGATGGACATTCTATAATGATAAAAGAGTAAATTCATCAGGAAGACATAACAATTACAAATATCTATGCACCTAACAATAGAGCCCTCAAAATGTGAAACAAAACTAACAGAATTGAAAGGATAAATAGATAGTTCAATAATAATGATTAGGGATTTCACTTCCCAACTTCAGTAGCTAGAACAACTAGATAGATTTACATGCATATAGAAGACTTAAATAAAACTATAAAACAATTGGATGTAATAAACATTTTTAGACCAGTCCACCCAGTAACAGTGGAATATAACTTCTCCCCAAACACGTATAGAACATTCTCCAAGATAGTCTATATGCTAAACAATAAAACAGGTCTCAGTCAATTTAAGAGGATTGACATAAAGTGTATTCTCAGTGGAATGAAATTAGAAACCAATAACAGAAGGAAATTTGGAAAAAATCACAAATATATGGAAATACAATAATACACTACTAAATACCTAACTGGATATTGAAAAATTCACAAAGGAAACTAGAAAGTATTTTGAGATGGATGAGAATAAAAATATGCCAGAATTTAAGAGATGTAACAAAACAGTGCTTATAGGAACATTTATAGCTGTAAACACCTATGTTAAAAAAATAAAGGTCTTAGGTCAATAGCCTAAACTTAAGAAGATAGAAAAAAAAAGAGCAAAATAAATCCATAGTCAGCAAATGGAAGGAAAAAATAAAGAATAGAATAGGGGGCTTCCCTGGTGGCGTAGTGGTTGAGAGTCCGCCTGCTGAGGCAGGGGACATGGGTTCGTGCCCTGGTCCGGGAGGATCCCACATGCTGCAGAGCAGCTGGGCCCGTGAGCCATGGCCACTGAGCCTGCGCTTCCGGAGCCTGTGCTCCACAACGGGAGAGGCCACAACAGTGAGAGGCCCATGTACCGCAAAAAAAAAAAAAAAAAAAAAAGAATAGAATAGGAATCAGTGAAAAGAAAATGGAAAAACAAAAGAGAAAAACAATGAAACCAGATGTTGGGTCTTTGAAAAGATCAACAGAGTTGAAAAACCTTTAGTGAGATTGACCAAGAAAAGCAAAGGTAAGACTCAAATTACTAAAATCAGGAATAAAAAGGGGATATTACTATTGGCTTTACAGGAAAAAAAAAAAGATTATAAGGGAATATTGTAAACAACTGTCTACCAACAAATTAGGTAAGTTAGATGAAATGGACACATTTTTAGAAAAACACAAATTACCAACATCAACTGTATACAATCTGAATACAGCTACAACAGGAAAAGACATTGAATTAGTAACAATTTTTCATGAAGAAAAGCCCATGGTCAAAGGTCTTCACTAGTGAAGTTCATCAAGCATTGAAGGAAAAATTAATACTGATCCTTTATAAACTCTTACAAAAAATAGAGGCAGAAATACTTCCTAATTCATTCCATAAGATAAGTATTACTCAGGTATCAAAACCAGATA